TATTCTATTTTGTGGCTATCGAAGAAAATTGGAGATCCACTATTGCTGATCCACTATTGCTGATCCACTATTGCTGATCCACTATTGCTGATCCACTAAAAATGCGTGCCGAAACCTATACTCGCCCGGGCACAGAGTGCCCCAGCGAGTAATTATTTTCAGTGTCCGTTTGAAGCTTTTAAATGGCAAAATTATTTGACTAAATTATTTGACTATTAAATACTGAACAGTGGAGTAAGCCTTGTGATTTTAACCTGCTTAAACAAACCTCAAATTCTTGAATGTGTTGCTCAACCAGATTATTCTTATGATACACGACCACAGGTCTTCCAAAAGTGTCAAGATAGGTAAAATGAAGCCGACTTTCCCCAGAGGTGGCTTCGAAAGGAAGCTCCATATTCAAATCCCTACACATTAAAACCAGAGTCCATTAGATATGTTAAAAACAATGTGGTAGAAAGTAAAGTAAAAAATGTAATGATAAACAACGTGCAGACAAAAATGCTAAATATTCCTGAGAATTCTTAAACTCGCGTGACATGTTGAAAACACGTCCATATAATCCTATGAACTTCATATATCTTGAACTTCATATTAATGCTATTCTTCTACTTCATCTAACTCAACATAAAGACATGCTGTATCAACTGTTCAGTCATTAAAGTTTATCTTTTGGATAGCGAGGGTCACATAGATGCTTGAAAGTTGAAACCACTTAGAGTTTGTTTGTACACTATACACTTACTGTAATGTCTGCTCTCGAGGAAAATAGTTTCGTTTTCCCGAGAACCTCAATGTTTCCCAGACGAAGTCGAGGGAACAGATATTAAGTGTTTTGTTAAAAAGCGACGAAAGAAAAATCAACAACATGCATACAATTGTACATGTACAGTATGACATGACAATGTAGTGTAAACGAGTTTAAAATTAAAAGAACCTAATTAAACAGATCCAGCAGCATATCCTATTGCCCTTTGCCTTCTCTTTTACATTCCTTATTTTAACACAAACTTGGAAAATCGTAGTCTACAACCTTACGAGTTGTGCTGCTATTTTGTTTATTATGTACGCAGCCAGTTGGGGCGGGATACATTGCATTTATCTAAGGCCACGTGACCACAAATCGACCAATCATGTTTGGTGTTCACCCTAGCTACATAACAATCTCTCTTAAAACTACATGCTACTAAAGAGAGAAAACTTTGTATAAGTAAACGTACTTGGATCCTTCTGGCAAAATAATTCTTAACGTAAAATGGTCCACAACAAAGTCGTCAAAAATGTGATCTACGAATCTCATCTTCAATTCGTAGTTATTACCTAGTAAAGCATAAATTCAAATCGTCAAAAGCTCTTAAAAAATGTTACTGCACTTACAGTACATGGCACGAAATAATTAACTGCTGCCTTTGCCAAACTCAAACTTCAAAATGGCGCCACTAACTGATAGAGCTGCTCCCATCGGTTCATTTTCATAATCAATTAATGGTTATTAACAAACGATTAATATCGATTAATCGTATTGATCAACTAATTTAAATTTGACATGTGCCTCCCTTGTTGTCACACAACAATTCAGTCAGTACTTGTGTCTGGAATTATTGTTCACTCCAAGTTATGGATTGCGCACTTTCTCGCGCACGCAGAGTTCACAGAAGTCGACAACGGACAAGACAATAACGATGTTTGACACTTCTAAATGATAACGTAAAAGCCCAGACACATCGAATCCAATTTTGTAACGCAGCGCGATTTTTCAATTTTCAAAAGTTACTAAAACTGTCTATAAAAAGAAATTTGAAAAGCTACAGTATGTAGACCAAATGACTCAACCTGTTATAGGCTACTAAATATCTGAAAAACTTAAATCAGGATCAGAAATAATGATTTCCTTCGAACAGAACATTTTGTTTTTCCGCTTGGCCAATTTTCTCAGGGAATGTCCTCAAGCCATGAGAGAATACCATATCAACAGTTACTTTCACAGACTTTCCAGATGTAAGTGGGCTATCCAGGGTGATTTCAAATACTTTGTTGGCACTATAAAGTCGTCAAGACCTATTAGCATACAGTAAGCATGAATACGAATTCTAAGAAAAAATTTCCACACCATCCCATGGAGATGGTTACAAGCTAAAGGTGCCTCTACGTCTTGCTAACTACATTATGTATTCCATACTGATAAGTTGATAACCTCTGTTACATGCAGTAGATCAAACGGTCAAATCAGATATATTGAAAGCAATGGAATCAATTCAATTTGATCATAACCCAGTGCATATCATCATTTTTGACATTTTGAAATTGAATTCATTATCAACATGCCCTAGTGTGTGCAAAACCTCTCCCTCTTGAGTAAGAGATTCTCTTTGCCATCATTCCCCTTGCATAGAAACTAAGTACATCCCAAGTATTTTTGGACGGCCAATTATAGCGCTACGAAATATCTGAAAATCTTAAATCAAGATCAAAGTTATCTGAAAGGAAACATTGATGAATCGATCATACTGTGCAGGATTGTGTATTATTCCGATAATTGTTAAGTATTATTGATTAAGGGAAAAAACCTATAAAATAAGTTCGATTAACTTGGGGCAGCCCTACTAAGGGACGGACCATTAGATATTTGAGAAGGGGGGGGGGGGGGAATTTTTCAGTGCACGAATTTTTTTTCATCCCCCAATTGCTTGCAAGGATTTTTTCCCGGCAACATTCCTTTGCACGATATTTTTTTTTAGACGACCTAAACCAAGTTCGCCGAAAAGTTCGTCATAAATTTTTCCGATTGTCGTAAAAACACCATTTTAATGTTTTAGAATAATTGCATTAAGATTTTAAAAATCAGCCCTAGTTCTTGCTCGATTTTTTTTCAATAGGTTTGTTGTGCACTATAATTTTTTCTGGATTTTTTCTGTGCGCGAATTTTTTTTTGGTATTTGTCC